AGGGTTGGCGACAATGTTGGTCCGAGTTGCAGTGGAGTGTAAATCTACGCGATGTGCTTTCGAGGACCAACGATCAGAAGGTGGTGGATCGCCTCAGCGGTAAGACGCTGTCTATGTGTACGTTCTACAGAAGCATGCAGTTTTTGTCCTGTCTTTCTTTTAGGTCTGATCCTGAAGCAAGCGACCTTGACCGATGTTCCCAATGAGCTTATGTTCCGGTATCTTACCAACGTCGTGTGCAATCAGGTGAGCAGTGGTTGCGGTTACGTATCGCTTGTGTGTATGCGTACCCCTTTCAGGTCGTGTCCCAGACTTCGTTTCTGCAAACGGCCGTTTCGTTCACTGAATTTCACAAGACCTCCTGTCTCAAATCGCTGCTCAACGTTGTATATACCCTTCGGTCCCGTATCAAGTACGCATTCAAATTTCGTTGCTGGTGTAAAGTAGCATATAGTATGCAGATTTTTCTTGAATGAGTGACCAGTGAACAATATCAGCTCTTTCGAGGATTTTCTACCGTTGTACTTTCCGAAGCTGGATGTATCCGCTACACATCCACGGAATTTTTTAAAAATTCAGATAATAGAGATTAATATATTTTAATCGTCTTTAAAAATCACTAAAACATTTGTTGTGAAACCTTTGCCCGCTAAATTGTTATGTGAAGCAACCGTGTACATCTGAAAGTTCTTAATTTCTAGGATGCTGACCATTTCTAGGAATTAAGATTGTCGTTTATTGTTAACAGCACAAAGGAAGAATAAAAATGGTGTACATAAATAGTCCTAAAGCGGAATCATAGCAACGTAACTCGTCTAAGAACTAATTTTATGACATGTTTCGCTGCACTTTTGCTATTACATCCGTAAGGAGCTAAGCCATTGCTTGGCTGCTTAAAGACCAGCGGCAGTGAATGCATATCTTTTTATTGGCTTTATCTTTGCTCGATGTCAGCGGTATTTTAAGAGTCGGTTTTGATGGTCTCTTCTGTAATTAAAAATATCAGCAAAGTTTAATGGAAAACTGTCACGTTTGCGTATTTTCCCTGGACGATTTTAGAGGGCACGCTGTATTAGACACTTTCCCAAATTCTTATTCATTTCAGACTTGGTGATGCATAGTCGAAGTAAACTCCCTCTACAATGTTTGGGAGAGAACTGTTGTTGTTTTGTCAAAAGGATGTGCTAAATAGAAAAAAATTATGTCTGCTGGTCTTTATTTAAGCGTGCGAAATATCAGTGCAGTCGTACTGCGTTTAGCCATCAGATTTGCTGGGCGCTTGGGAATAGTAATTTAAGACAGGTACGCAGAAGCTAAGAAAGGAATGTAATTTGCCACTGAACTTGCTTTCAATTTTTTGAAAACGCGTTTTC